TAAACTTGTGATCTTCCTGCCTTGGCTTGCCAAGTACTGGAATTACTGGTGTGTGCTACCATGCCTGGCTTTCGGTATGGAAATGTGTGTTCTTCAGTTCTGAATTATTTTGTTGATGCTATCCCTCCTCTGCATTCTATGTCCTCCTTTTCTGGAATTGGAATTCATACATTGGCCCTCTAATTTTCTTATTTTTCTTAGTATTTTTTTCTAAACTTTTTGGGAGATTTCCTCATATTTATACATTCTCCTTCAATTAAATTTTTGTTAGTGACTATTCCTTCTTTGATGCACTGGCTTGTTTCCTTGATGTGGTATTAGGTAGTTCATTTTTCTTTCCATAGCTTGTTTTCTCTTTGATGCTTTTCTCTGATTTTGGGCTCCATTTCTTTAGCTTGGTTGCTAGAGTGGAGACCTGCAAAGCTAATTGGGGACTCTAGAGCATATGGATAGCATTCATGACTTCAGTCCTCAATAAGGTGATCTGGATGAAACATTTTTTGGGAGCCTTGGATGTCAGTGTCTTTATAACTTTTCTTTTCCATTGGCTATATTCCCCACAGTCCTTTGCGTATAGCTCTGTTTGTTTTATTTTTAGATACGCTCCTGCTATGTGGTTTATTTTTTGTATTTTAGGCAAGGGTCTACAGAGTGTTCAGGCTTTCACTACTAGATCAGACTTGTAGTGATCCGCCTGTTTACAGCCTCCCAGGAGTTGGGATTACAGGCACAGGCCACCACGCCTAGTCTCAATTGCTGTCTCAGTGTGCCCCGGGGGCAAGGCTGGCACAGCAGGCCTGGGGATTGAACCCTTGGCCGCTGCACCTGCTTGCAGGCACTTTAATCTGCTGAGCCATTTGGCTGGCCCTTGCTATGCAGTTTAGGCTGGTCTCAAACTTCTATGTAGCGCAAGATGGCCTCAAATTCTTGGTAATTCTCTTGCCTTAGTGCTGGGATTACAGGTGTGTGCCACCATGACTGCGTAGAGTAAAGGCTCATCTGGCAAAAGTTTGGGGAGTAGGGGAAGGGCAAAGAGCTTAAGGGGTGGAGGTACAACATCAGTGAGTTGCATGTACATGCAGGCATGTCACTTAGCTGGTCCTTGTCTTCATGGTGGCACTCCTCATACCCTCTGCCATGGTCCACAGACCTCTGACTTCCTTCCTAGAACCGTGCCTTCAGTCTCCTGCTGGCAGAGAAGCCTAGTTGCTTGGCAGTGTGAAGTGGCAAGGAGAGCTGGAGAGCTAGAGAGCCACAGGAAAAGTCTCAGTTGGTCTTCAAAGAAACAAAATACCACAAAGTTCTGGGGTCGCTGAGCTAGCATAAGGACAATCAGGCTAGCTTTGTTAGGGTTTTTGTCTTTTAGTTCTAATCTAAGTTTACTAATGCTTTAATAGAACACTTAATTTTCTATAGGCTTAATTTATGATAGGATGACAGATATACATACACAAGCAAATTTATGGATTTTTCCTTACTAAACACTGCTCGGGCCGGCCAGATAGCTCAGCAGATTAAAGTGCCTGCAAGCAGGCACAGGGGCTGGAGGTTCAATCCCAGGCCTGCTGCACCAGCCCCACCCCTGGAGCTGGCTGAGTCAGCATATGAGACTGGGCGTGGTGACGCACGCTTGTAATCCCAGCATTTGGGAGGCTGAAAACAGGAGAATCACTATGAGTCTGATCTAGTAGTGAGACCCTGAACACCCTGCAGACCCTTCCCTAAAAAAATAATACAAAAAAACAAAACACTGTGCTCATTCCTTACAAACTTTATGCTAATGAAAATAAACATTTTTGCTAATCATGGTCATCCTATACATCAGTACATGGTCATCTCTATAAACCTAACATTTATGGAGATTTTATTTAGTATTTATGAACTTTTCATGTAAGGCACTGGAGCAAATGCCTCTACAGTATTTAGGCTACTTAGGAAAATTAACCAGTTTTCAGAAAAATTTAACAGCATTTTTTAAAATGTAGGCTGTTAATCTATATTATTTTACTTCTGGATGTAGCTCATGTTTAAGCTTTATATTTCAACATGAAAGTGGTTAGTGGGACCATACTGTACATATTTTGTCACATACCTCTGTACTGCTCATTAACATTCAAAGTGTTAATTTTCCCTCCTTAATCACTTTATCCTCAAAGGATTATTATTTTTAATTTTTATTTATTTGTGTGTGTGTGTGTGTGTGTGTGTGTGTGTGTGTGTGGCCAGCTCAGCCCACCAGGGGGCGGGGCTTTTTTATTTGTGTGTGTGTGTGTGTGTGTGTGTGTGTGTGTGTGTGGCCAGCTCAGCCCACCAGGGGGCGGGGCTGGCTGGCATGTGGTGCTGGGGGATTGAACCGCGTTCCCTGTGCTTTGCTTAGCTTAGCTTGGTCTAAATAGGTGCTTTAGACAACTGAGCCATCTCACCAGCCCCCCTCAAAGGATTATTAAATGTTTGCTCGCTACACAAAATATTTCCTTTCATTCAAGGAACTTAGACTGTCGAGGAGACAGACTCTGCACAAGTGGAGCAAGGTGGCAAAATACTGGCAAGAAAGGAGCTGAACTGGGTATATCAGTTACAAGATTATTTATTCTTCAAGCATTTAGAGCAAACCCCTGACTTCGGAACAAGTTCCATTTGGGAGAACATTCTTAAGTCAGATTCATTTGTAAATCTAACAAAGTGAGTCTTTTTCTTTGTTTTGTTTTATAATGAATTTTCTACAGGGTCTCACTACATAGATCAGCTTCATAGTGATTCTCCTGTTTTCAGCCTCCGAAGCACTGGGATTACAGGCGTGCACCACCACGCCCAATCTCAATCACATCTCAGTGCGCCCTAGGGGCGGGGCCCCCATGGCATGCCAGGGATTGAACCCCGGCTGCTTCACTCTGCTTAAGCAGGCACTTGAGTCTGCTGAGCTATCTGGCCAGCCCCAAAGTGAGTCTTATGCACCTCTGACACCAATATATAATGTAAAGCATAAAAAAATTCACATTCCATAATCTTGTCCTTGTTCTTTAGAATTGTGCCAATGACTGAATGATTCATGTTCTAAGAAGTAGTGTCTACCATCTTTTCACATTGGTCCAATTTTTCAGTTATTTTCACTTGTTGCCAAAGTTACTGCTTTGCACTTCCTAGCAGTGTTCTCCACGTCGCATGGCTTTTACTCTTGCTTCCAGACATCTGGGCTGGCTGAACTGTATAGAATCACAGCTGTGACCATGTCCAGTAGACATGTGAACTACATCCACAGTTTGTGCCCATCTGGGTGTAATACGGTGTCTGTTCATATTTGTGAAGTTTCACAACTTGAATGTTCCTAAGTCAGGTACTTATACTGTATTTGTTTTGTTTTGCAGTACTGAGGATCAGGTTCAATAAGCTATATCCCCACCCTTTATATTTTTTGAGACAGGCCCTTGCTAAGTTATGTAGGTACAAAAACACTCCTGTCTTTGCCTCCCTTAGTGCTAGTGTTGCAGACATAGGCCACCATGTCTGGCAAAGCAAACATTTATTAAGAACATTCTATGTATGTCAGTTTGTATTTAGGACTGCACTTTCTGAGAGTTTAAAGGGGTTTACACTCTAGTTGGAGTGAAAGATTCAAAGTATAAAATATTAACTGTACAAAGCCTAATAACAAAAAAGGAAAGGGTTATACTAATTCTGGGACTGTCCACATAGCTGACATTTCAGCAGCCTTTTCAGAGTATGAGATATTTATCAGGTGTAGGGTGGCTGCTTAGTAGTAGTTTGCACTTTGCGTCTTCAAAAAGAACTCTTAAGACTGCCCAGTTGATGGTGAGCAGGCAAAATACGCAAGGAAGAGCAGATGTGGGGAGGGAAGATGACATGCTGGATTACTTTCAAGTGATCATGAACATGGACATGAGTGTGTACTTGGGAGTCAAAGGTGCTTAGGCCCCAAATAGACACATGAAGTTTTCTTTCCTTTAAGAGACACTGGAATTCTCCAGAGAATATTAAATTTTCCCAAAGTCCTGTCCTGTCCTTTGATCTGATTGCGAAGAGGAACCAGTGTTGAAGCTACTTTTTAAATCAGCTTGTAAATCCAATTTAGATATTAGGTTCTTTTATTCTTGTAATAGGTATTTCTTAAACATAATAAACCTTACTGCCAAATTTTTATTACTACTTGTATTTCTAAACAATAAATCCTTTTAAAAAGCAATTAGTTCTAGGGCAGGAGAGATGGCTCAGTGGAGTAAGTGCTTCCCTGGCAAGTGCAAGGGCCTGAGTTCAATCCCTGGTTCCGCAAAAAAAAAAAAAAAAGCACTTAGTTCATTTACTATGAATTTTAAAATTGTCGCAACTTCAGTGCTGGGGATTTGTTTCAGCTCCCTGCCACTGAACTGCATCCCCAGCAGTTCACTTTTTTTTTTTTCATTTTATGCATTTGGTACAGGGTCTCACTACGCAGCTTGGACTCATAGTGATCCTCCTGTTTTCAGCATTGGGATTACAGGGATGTGGCACCATGCCTGGACTTGGCAGCTGGCTCACTGCGCCCCAGGGGTGGGGTCAGGGCCTGGTGAGGCATGTGGGACTGGGGATCGAACCTTGGTCCCTGCACTTGCCAAAGCAGGCGCTTAGTCTGCTGAGCTATCTTGCCAGCCCTTGAATTACTATTTTTCATTTTCAAAAACAAAGTAGAACTGTGATTATTATATGAAGTTAACAGGAAAGCTAGAAAACCAGCTGCTAAAGAGCAAGTGAACTGGGCTGGGGAGATAGCTCAGTGGAATAAGCACTTGCCTGGCAAGCATAAGGTCCTAAATTCAATCCCTGGTATCACAAAAAAAAAAAGTATTTTGGGGCCGGGAAGATGGCTCAGTAGAGTAAGCGCTTGCCTGGCAAGCACAAGGGCCTGAGTTCAATCCCTGGTTCTGAAAAAAACCAAAAAAAAAAAGGCAGGTGAACATTTGGCACTGGCTTATCCCCAGAGGTGATTTTTTTGTTTTTAATTCCAGGGATGGAAGATTGCGAAACAATGGAAGATGTATACATGGCTTCTGTGGAAACTGATCGGGGAGTAAAGGAACAACTACATCTTTATGACACCAGAGGTCTACAAGAAGGCGTTGAGTTGCCGAAGCATTATTTTTCATTTGCTGATGGCTTTGTTCTTGTGTACAGTGTGAATAACCTTGAATCTTTCCAAAGAGTGGAGCTTCTAAAGAAAGAAATCGATAAATTCAAAGACAAAAAAGAGGTAGGTGGGTATGTTAAAAATGCCCAGTGTGTGCCAGGTGTGCTGGTGCATGCCTGTAATCTTGGTACTCAGGAGGCTCACAGTGGAGCTCACGGTGGCAGGAGGAGAGGGCGACATAGTGAGTTCAAGACCAGAATTATAGTGAGACTGTCTCAACTCCTCCCCTCTAGAAAATGGCTAGCCATGTGTGAATTGTAATACTATCTACAGGGTGGTTTCAGAGTAAACAGATATTAAAACCAGCAAATTGCAAATTCAGTATGTGTAACTGCAACATGTTTTTAGCCCAGGTAGTATGGTACTGACAGTTCATTCAGGACTAGCATTTGAGCTGCATGTTTGCTGTTTTACCATGTACAGGTTAAATTTAATTACTCTATTTCAAGTACTATGAAGTTTGGAGTCAAAAGTTTCCTCAGGCTTTTCATTGGAAATTCTCACTGGCTGAAGAGACTTCTTTTAATCCTTGGGGGGTTGGGAGCTAGTGAATAATTATTGGCACCTACTTACTCCTAGACCACCTAAAATAAGATCTGCAGGGCTTACTGGGTATATGACTGTAACCTGGTCAGTGCTTTCCTTCTCTTCTGAATCTTCTTGCTCCTCTCAGTACTGTAGCAACACTGGTCTACTTCCTGTTCTTCTGGCATCGCTCACTGTGGTGCCTGTTAAGTGCTTCTCGATCGCCAGTTCCCTTGCCTGGAACTCTCCATTGGGAGCTCATTCCACAGCTGATTCCTGCTCGTGCAGGTGCCACTAATGAGTAGCACGAGCAGATCGCCGAAGATTTTGTATTTTAATTATTTTTTTCACTTCCATCTTTTTTTTTTTTTTTTAACCTTTCTTTGTGTGTGTGTGGCCAGCTCAGCCCACCAGGGGGCGGGCTGGCTGGCACATGGAGCTGGGGGATTGAACTGTGGTCCCTGTGCTTTAGCTAAGCTTGTTCTAAGTAGGTGCTCTAGACCACTGAGCCATCTCACCAGCCCCAAATATCTTTTTTTTTTTTTTGCAGTACCAGGGATTGAACTCAGGCCCTTGCGCTTGCCAGGGAAGTGCTTATTCCACTGAGCCATCTCCCCGGCTATTTTAATTATTTTTACATTAAACTTTTTGAGATTATTGTAATAATAAAAAATTACCCAGTTTGGTGGTTTGTATTTTTAGAGATGGGTCTCCCTATGTTTCCCCGGATAGACTTGAACTTCTGGGTTCACGTAATCTGCCTGCTTAACCTTCTCAAGTAGCTGTGACCACAAATGTGGCACTGCTCCCTCATAGCAGTGTTAAGAAATTAAGAATACAGGGGCTGGGGAGATAGCTCAGTAGAATAAGCACTTGCCTGGCAAGTGCAAGGTCCCGAGTTCAATCCCCTGTACCAAAAAAAAAAAAAAAAAAAACAGAGCTTCCTTATTGTTACCCTATCACTGCCATCTTACAGTACTGTGGTATCACTGGGTGTGGTAGTGTGTGTCTGTAAGCTTGGCTGCTCAGGGAACCTGAGATCGGAGGACTGTAAGTTTCAGGGCAGCCTGTATAATTTAACAAGGCTATGAGAATAAAAAGCCTAGGCTAGCTGGATGTGGTGGTGCACACCTGTCTGCAGGATAAACTGGAAAGGGCTCCCAGATAAAGTGACCTTTTACAGACACCTGAAGTGAGGAAGGAGGGAGCATGGTACAGGGGAGGAAATAGCTAGTGCTGGGGTCTAAAACCTGAATTTGCCTATCGCACTCAGGAAATAGCAGTAAGGCCAGACTGGGCTCAAAGGTGAGTCACAGGAGATGGTGACACTTTGGCTTTCTCTTTTTGTTAGACCAGAAGCTAATGGTTCTAGAATAAAGAAATGATTTGGCTTAGGGGCTGGCCAGGTAGCTCAGCAGACTGAAGTGCCTACTTAGGCAGATGCAGGGGCGGGGCGTAAGATCCCCAACCTGTTGTGCCAGCCCCTCCCCCAGGGGCATGGCAAGATGGCGAATGAGACTGGGCGTGGTGGCTTGCACTTGTAATCACAGCACTTGGGAGGCTGAGAAACAGGAAGGATTACCATTTACTATGAACCCGATCTATGTAGTGAGACCCTGTATTAAATACATTTTTTTAAAAAATGTGGCTTACGCACTTGAGGCACAATCTCATTATGTCCTTTAGACTAGCCTTGAGCTATGCAGTCTAGGCTGACCTTACAGTCATGATGATCCTCTTGCCTCAGCCTCCTGGGTGATGGGATTACAGATATGCAGCCCATGCCCAGAAATGAATGTGGCTGAACATCTTTTGACTTGTATGAAGTGGACCACTTTGGCTGGTGTGTTGAAGTAGGCATGAGAGGCAAGAAGTGTAACATTCACAAGTTGGAGGGCATTTTTTTTTTTTTTCACTTTTTTTCCTGGGATAAAGTACCTGACACCCACAATTTAGAGGAGAGGCCTATTTCCACACAGTTTGTAGAGCTTTCAGTTCACTGGATGGCATGTCAAAGGAGAGTGGCTCTCAGCTGGTGGACAATAAGCAGAGACAAAGGGGGGGAGATAAACCCTTCCAGGCCTTCCTCTAGTCACAAGCCTCTTCTGACCAGACCCCACCTCCTAACAGAAGTCGTAATCTAGTCTCCCAGATTCCCTCCCTGCTGTGAGCACGTGAGGCTCTGGGGGATCTAGGGTCAGGAGAAACAGCCAAGGAGTCTTGGGAGAAGTGGCGAAGGGTAGAGGAAAAACCTCAAGATGGGGGCATCCAGAGAGAAAGTAAAGCCAGCATTTGAAATACCAGGTAGGAAACAGACTGGAATGCTACAGAGAGGTCAGCTGAGGACTAAGAATTAGTCTTTACTATGTGGAGTTTTAGTAAGTTGAAGTTTGGGATTGACAGAATTGAACACAGAACATATAGTTAGCTCTTTGAGAGAACTTCGCTGTAAAGGAGCAGGATGTGGTACAAAAAGGCTTAGATATGAGATAGTATGTTTATATGTTAACGACAGGGATTAGGGCTGGCCAGATAGCTCAGTGGACTAAAGCACCTGCTTAGGCAGAGCACAGCAGTCTGGGTTTGATCCCGGTTCTGCCTTGCTGGCCCTGCCTGCAGGGCACATGAGATGTGATTCAGACTGGTGGTGGCATGCGCCTGTAATCCCTGCGCTTTGGAAGGCTGAAAACAAGTCTGATCTGTAGAGTGAGACCCTGTACTAAATACGTAAAAAAAGAAAGAAAATAATGGGAGGAACTAAAGAGAAAACAGCCTGATGCAGGTGTAGGAGGATGGGGTGTAGAACAGTGAGGTAGGTTGGAAATTGGCACTTCGTTAGTGTGGAAGAAAATACTGCTTGCTTTTTGTTGTTTTAGTGAAATAGTCTCATCAACTGAAATGAAAGAAGAGGTGTAGGCATAGAGGAGAGGGCTATATTCTGAGATCTTGTCTAGTTACACAATAAACGGAGAAAACAATACATTTGCTGGGGAACCGCAGCTTGAGCTCAGCGGTTATGGATGAAATTAGCTCAAAAGGTTGTGCGTTTTTCTGAGTTAAATTTAACAGAGGAAGGGGCTTTGCCAGGTGAGTATGGTGTGGGGAGGGGATGAAAAGAATCTGAGCTAAGGAGGAAGAGGTAAGTGGGGTGGAAGAACCATGATATAGGTAGTAGAGCTAGTACAGTGTTACCTTCATGTGGTGGCTGGCGCTGCTGGAGCATGGGTATTGGGCTTTCCTTGGAAGGCAAGGGTCTGTGTAGTGCTGGCAGCTGAGGTGAGATACACTGTCAGGGTCTAGGATGTGACCACACATAGGCTGAGGACGGCAAGATCACTGGAGCAGTCAAAGCACTGAGACTGGGGGACTGACTGAGGTATCATCCATGTGGCTGGTGAGGTCATTATGAAAGGAGCAGAGCAGTGTAGTGACGGGCATGTTCCTGAGGCAGCTGTTCAGCGAGCAGAAACCAGGGTGGAGGATAGGTAGCATATTGAGGTCTTAGCGAAGGACAGCAGCACTTAGTGGAGCAGCACTGAGGAAAAGGGAGGATGCTCATTAACCGTTTTGCTCCTTTTCAACTTGCACTGATAATGGTCAGGCAGGGAAAGGTAAGAAAAATAGGGTTAAGCTCCATTTCAAGAATGTGAAGGGATATTTAGGTGGTGGTGCTGGTTTTCTGCACTTGCAGAGAGATGGTGACACTGGGGAATGTACAAGAATGACAGAGCCCAGTATGTTGGTAAATAATGGCATGCCCACTCTGGAGTTTGAGGGAGGAGAATCACAAGTTCAAAGCTAGTTGGAGTAACTAGAGATCCTTAGTCTTAAAAAGTCTGGAGATATGGCTCAGTGGTAGTGTGTCCCTGGATTTGATCCCCAGTCCATAAAAGGTAGGAAGGCAGCACCTGCTGAGATTCATTAGGGACACCAAGCTCTGGGCTCACACCTTCATTGTGCAAGCAAGGTCCTGTCTTACTGGGAGCACATGTTAACAATGGCTCAGAGGCCTCCTGATTTGGTGTTCTTCAAAAGTGCCTTCTTTTGAGAATGCCAAATCCTCTTTCTCTACCCTGGCATCATCTGAAAATCTGGATACTATCTCTTCTCCCGTCCCCTTGGGCTTTGCCATTATTGTGACTGCTGTGCTCTGGTCACTTCAAGCAGTGCCTGGTGAGTAGTGTCAGATTTAAACGGATGACTGACTTCTATTTAGTGTGAAATGTTTTATTGGTTCATGATTCATCAAACAGCAAGTACTTTTTGAGGACTGAGAATAATATTTCCATGGATTTTAGATTCTTTGGGGTACAAACTCCCACAGCTCTAGGGGTTGTCTTTTATTTAAGCATTACAATGCAAATCCCTCAGTGTCTCAGTCACTTTTTTGCTGCTAAGACAATACTCAACACCCACAATTTAAAGGAAGAAAGTTTTATTTTGGCTGAGTTGTAAACATTTAGTCAATAATCATGTGGCTCCAAGGCAGAGGAGCAGCAATTCATGGCATGGGGGCCTCAGGAAAGAGGAGATAGATGTTTCTAGGTCCCACCCCCAGCAGCCTGCTCTTCTGATTTCCCTTCCCAGTGTCAGAGTTACAGACTGACTCCCAATGAGCTTCACACTCCTGTGGTCCAGTCACCTCTCTAAAGCCAGCCCACCTATAAGCACTGAGGCTTTGGTGGGGGACACCGCAAACAGAAATACACATTGTTAATTTCTAAGGCTGTCTTCTACTCATTCCAGAGTTAAAAGCGCAACTTTACCTGTTTAACCATTTTTTATAGTTAACATCTTACAGGATGTGGGTGTGTACCCTTTTAAATAAAAAAAGCACTCAGGAATATGGTAATACCTTACTCTAATGAAGCAGGTTGTCCCCCTTGCTCTAAATCTGACATTGGCAAAGTACTTATGTAATTTTTTTTAATCCATTTTCTTTCAGGTTGCAATTGTTGTATTAGGAAACAAACTTGACCTTTCTGAGCAGAGACAAGTGGATGCTGAAGTGGCACAGCAATGGGCAAAAAGTGAGAAAGTGAGACTGTGGGAGGTAACTGTTACAGATCGGAAAACTCTGATTGAACCTTTCACTTTGTTAGCCAGTAAACTCTCTCAGCCCCAGAGCAAATCAAGCTTTCCTTTGCCTGGGAGGAAAAACAAAGGAAACTCTAGCTCTGAAAACTAGAAATCACCAGTTACACAATTGTTAGCTGAACAGGGTTGCCTGTAATTGTGAATAGTAAGCTTAACATTTATAAATAGGCCATTTATATCTACCTACCTTTGGCCTTTAAGGAAGCCATAACTTAATATGCTTCAGGTTATTATGAAATTAGACTGCTTGATATGAAATTACTTTTATTCCTCTTTTGAAGTCTGTCCCTGAAATTAGCACCTGTCATTTATGTTGTCAAAACAGTAAAATAAAATTGAATATTATGCATATGTACTCCAACATGTTTCAGAAGGTATCGTATTTTGTATGACTTCCTACAAACTTTTTAGCTCAAATATCTTTTTTTTTACAAGTTGATTAGTCACTTAATGCCTAGGAATATGAGGCTTAACACTTTATGCAACCAAATTGGACCAGTAGCAATGACCAATTTAGGTACCACATAGTAATTTTTATCAGAGAAATCACTGAATGAGACAAAAGCCATAAACTGCTTTTGCTCCTGTTCCATTTAATATGAGATGGTAGGTAGTGGAAATAGGTTTGTCATACCCCATAGCCTCTTTAAGAATACAGGCTCTTCTTTATTTTAAAAATGACTAATAAGGTGCAAGGGTGTATATATAGCTCAATGGCACAAGCACCTGCCTGGCAAGTGCAAGGTCCTGAGTTTGATTCCTGGCACCAAAAAGCAAAAGAATTAAGTAATAGTGAGAGAAAAGCTTACATTTCTAGAAGGAATACTGTATCTTTCTAGATGCCTGGTCAAGTGCAGCAAAATATAGAATACTGGGCTGTACTATGATTCTCTGATGACTTTGGCAAGATCTGAGCAATGTGGTTAATTTTATTTAGCAAGTAGATAGCATTAATCAGTTAACCCTTTTGACTTAAAAAGTAAGTATGAAATAAGCTGTTTCAACAAATGACATGTTAAAATATCAAGTAAACTAACGTAAGTGGAATACTTTTTTTTTTTTTTTAACATGGAGTACTTTTGAGATTAGGTTGTTGCTCAGTTTAGTGAGTTCAAGCCAATACTACACATATGAAATATAAAAATAAGCTGGTTCTGCTATATAGAATTCTTCTAAGTTTCTTGTGATTTTTTTTCCTGTCCCCTTTTCTCTTCTGGCTGTAGATCTACATGAGTATCCATAGGGTGACCGTACTTTTCTAAAAGAGTATGGATGGGCTGGGGACATAACTCAGTGGTGTAAACGCCTGCCTGGCAAGCGCAAGGTACCGAGTTCCATCCCTGGTACCGCCAAAAAAAAAAAAAAAACCCAGACCAAAAAAAAAAAACTATGGTGAATGCATGTGCAGTAGGGCTCGTCTAGAAGGATCACCCAGGTTATTATGGAAACTGCCCTCTAACATGGGCAGAATCGGTGTCTTATGTACTTCCTACCATGACACCTGCAAGTTAGAAAATGCTTTTTAAAAGTTGCAGTGGTAGTTCGGCATGGTGCTGTGTGCCTATAACCCAGCACTTGGGTTGGATCCAAGGCCAGCCTGGGCTACATGGTAAGACCCACCCTGTTTCCAGAAAAGAATAAATAGATACAGTACAGTTTGTCTGAAACCTAGATGGGCTAGATTTAACCTTTCAAGACATCTGAGCTATTGTTGTATACAAGTACAAGTCTTGAAAGGTAAATTATATTTCATTAAGTTATTTAGAAGGGAAGAATCTGGAAACTGCAACCAAAAGGCAAAGGAAAGTAAATGAACAGGGGAGTGTCAGTTGATTGTTTTTAATATGGTTTATTAGCACAGTAACAAATGCAGACGTAAGAAGTCTACAACATTTAACCAATCCACTGAGTGACTCCTATTCCACGCCTTACAGTTAACAGCTTAAGGTATTTCACTACAGGTTCTCACAAGTCCTGATTTAAACCTTTAAAGTAAATTCAATATAAAATAAAATACATTAACTATTCATTTCCTACATG